GCTTTTGAGTGTAAAAATTTTGGCCCGCCTAACAATAAAAAACTCGCCCAACATGATTCGTCCCGAACCTGTCCGTCCAGCCTGAGTGCCCCAGCTGCCCTGCCGTCATTGTTTACAAGCCAGGGTGGCCGGTTTCAAGCATACACTCGATACATTTTGTATCATTCCATTGTTTATAGTGCTTGTAACTGCTAAATAAGCCACCATGGGCCCAAAGAAAGCTTTTAGTGCCAACCCTGTGGTAAAAAGGGTGAGAAATATTATCGAAATACTATCATAACACGGTCAGCTGCTGCTGCACCACCGTCAGCTGTTGCTGCACCACCGTCAGCTGTACTGCTCGAAGATGTGGAGAGACTGTTGTTGGTGTGGCTTAACGAGAAACAATTACCGAGAAACAATTAACCCCAGAGGGTTAGCCACCCAAGATAACCCAAGAAAGTCAGTGAATCATTGAGGACTGTCTAACTTATTTCCATTGGGATCCTTAATCTTGTCCCCCAGGATCCGACCCACACCAGTCGACTAACACCCAGGTGAACAGGAAATTCCAACCCTGTTCTGGAAGAAAATGCCAAACAGGACCTACATTACTCAGGAGTAAAAGGCACTCTCAGGACACAAGCCTATGAGAAACAGGCTAACTTTCTTGTTTTGTTATAATGCTAGTGGGGATTGCAAAGTGAAGCCTTTACTCATGTATCACTCTGAAAATCCCAGAGTGTTCAAGAAAAACAGTGTCTCATCACTCATCAATACTCTTCAGTAAACTTAAGCGTCATTTTAACATTTATTTATATAGTTATTGTGCATCCTAAGTAGTAGGTTGGTAGACAGCAACCGCCAAGGGAGGTACTACCGTCCTGCCAAGTGAGTGTAAAACGGAAGCCTGTAATTGTTTTACACGATGGTAGGATTGCTGGCATCTTTTTTTTCTGCCTCATACACATGCAAGATTTCAGGTACGTCTTGCTACTTCTACTTACACTTAGGTCACACTACACACACATGTACAAGCATATATATACACACCCCTCTGGGTTTTCTTCTATTTTCTTTCTAGTTCTTGTTCTTGTTTATTTCCTCTTACCTCCATGGGGAAGTGGAACAGAATTCTTCCTCCGTAAGCCATGCATGTTGTATGAGGCGACTAAAATGCCAGGAGCAAGGGGATAGTAACCCCTTCTCCTGTATATATTACTAAATATAAAAGGAGAAACTTTCGTTTTTCCTTGTGGGCCACCCCGCCTCAGTGGGATACGGCCGCTGTGTTGAAAGAAAGAAAAGTTATTGTGCATGTCTCGTTTTTTCTTTGTAGGGAAATGTATATTTTGTGAAAAAAAAAAAAAAATTTAACACTTTTGGCTGTCTGGAACGGATTAATTGGATTTCCATTATTTCTTATGGGGAAAATTAATTTGGCTAACGATAATTTTGTCTGACGATGAATTCTCAGGAACGGATTAATATCGTTAGCCGAGGGTTAACTGTGCTAGGAATAAGGCAAACTGAATTATCTATATTTACATATGTGTTAGCTAAAAATATAAAAATCATTCTCCTCTCTTTTTATCACTACATTCATTAGGCACCTTTTCGTTCTTCTTGAACTGGCTCATGCTATGACTGGCTTTGACATGTGTAGGCAGTCTGTTCCATTCCTTTATTGCTGTACAATAAAATGTGTTTGAATCCTGACCAATGACTGTGGGTACTACAAAGTTGTGTTCTCTTCCCCTAATGCAATGATTGCTTTGATTCCCAGTCTTGACAAAATTGGCAGCAAGATATTCTGGACACTGTGAGCAATTTTATATTATTATTATTATAATCAAGGGGGAAGCACTAAACCCATAGGATTATACAGTGCTTGGGGGAGGGATGGAAGGTATTCAGGTTTAACTCAGGGAACTGGAGCACAGATCCAGTTCCCTGGATCAAGAGCCCCTCACCAGCATCAAGGAACCTTCCTTGAGGGGAGCAATTTTATAAAACCTGATTTAATTTCAGTTGTTTTGTCTTCAACATTCAACATATCCAAGTGCAAGTGTTGTAATTCATCCTGGCCTACATGCTCTCTTGGACTCGGGTCCAGGGTGAATCTTACCATTGTGTTCTGGGTGATTTGTAGTCTGTCTTTCAGTCTTTTTGTCAAGGCAGAGTACCATGAAGAGCAAGCGTAGTCCATATGACATTGTAAATATGACATAGGGTCTTGTGAGCCTCAGTAGGTAGACACTGTGCTTGTCTGTAGAGGAACTTCAGTCTAGCATTCGCTCTCTTTACTACACTGTTCTCTATTAATTCTCCTGACATGCCTGGATCAAAAGGGATTCCAAGATACTTCATTGAGGAAACTGAAGTGATGGGTTTCCCATTACACTGGACATTAAAATTATTTACCCTCCTCAGTTTATGTTTCATGCCAAAGAGTATGGCTTCTGTTTTCCAGAGGTGTAATGATAGTTTTTTGCAGGAATCCAGTTCCAGTGTTATTACATTAGCTATATCTTGTGGGTCTTTACCTGACACTAACAGAGCACTGTCATCTGCATACAGTAGGAGTTTGCACTTGAAAAAAAAAAAAAGAATCAAAACATACATGAACCAGAAATGTAGCAACACATATTGCTAGAGCTGTAGGCATCAACAGGGAAACACTAATCGAGTACTGAAACAAAATTCAACTAGACTAAAACCAAATTAATTCAAGAGGATAAATTAAACTAGTTTTTTTTAATGAATATTAAAGAGCTTCCTTTAACATCCATTTTTAATATTTTAGCCAATTAAACAAAATTAATTTCTTTAACTTTTAATTATAATGAGCATATATACAACTAATACACATACATGTATTACTGTTACTTTTATTATTCATGCCATAAGTATCTTTATAAACTTAATGGTACTTTCCAAAATATTTCTTATCAATATTTCTGATCCAGTTGTGACAGCCCATCATATTGTTTTGAATAAGATATTTGAAGGTATATGGATTAATGTTTTCCCGCTCAAATCTCTCTTCTTCCAACCGAGAAGCCACAAGGGTTTCGTGGCTCACTACCTCCGCAGGAAATGGTAATTTGTGAGCAATCATCGTTAAAAATGGTTTCACCTGGAAAAGAAAAAAATAATAAAGATTTAATTTTTTAGGCTTACAAATTTTGATGATTGAGGCACTTATGCAACATATGGGAATCTTTATTAAGGAAACGTTTTGCCACACAGTGGCTTCTTCAGTCCAATACAAAGCAGAAAGCGACCTGCTCTAAGCCCATGTTGCCCTGGGTTGTGTAACTGATGGGTATCTAGATGAGTGATCTTGCTTCTTAGAACCCTTTCAAAGATTTTTATGATATGGGATGTTAGCGCTATCAGTCTGTAGTTCTTCGCTGTTGCTTTACTTCCCCCTTTGTCTGGGTATCTATAGGAAATTTCACTGCTAAGGCATGTATACATAATAAAAATAAAAACAATGAAATAGTAGTTATTGTGGCAACAACAGTGAATGATTTTATTAGTTCTTTTACTCTCACAACCCAGTTTGGAACAGGACTTTTTGGTGACCATCTGATTAACCTAGCTGTTGCTGCTTATAACCCAGAGGTCAACATTGCCATTACAACTTGGGTGATCCGGTACATCATGCAGAAATTTTCTCAGCTTCCCTTGAAAACTAATTTTTGTTCTGGCAAGATTTCCAATCTTTGCATATCATAGAGAATACCAAGCATTTTGAAAAATATTGTACCTCTGCATACCCTTTACAATTTACAATTTGAGCACACATACAGAGGTACAAAAAAAATACAGATAAGAGCAGCATGCCAAAGCCACTTATACTATGCATAGCATTACGGGCTGGCTTAAAATTAACTTAAGATTAACTAAGCAATGATGAAATCAGTGATAAAACATTAATGTAAACAGATTACTATAAAGCACAAGTGAGTATTACAAAGACAGGTCATATGGTTGCATGCATTGTTGTACATTCAGTCGTATGGAGAATTCTGTTAGGTAGTGTATTTAAAAAATAGTAAAGTTAGATTGGGTTTTAGGTTTAACATTTATGTGATATATAATTGTGAGAAACATTTAAGATATACAATTTATAAGGTTCAGTTATTCAGTATTTATTTGGTTTTGGGTGAGTAAGTGATCTTTGAGAAGAGACTTGAATTTATAAACAGGTAGTGTTTCTTTTATATTTACAGGTAATGAATTCCAGATTTTAGGGCCTTTTATGTGGATTGAGTTTTTGCATAGTGCGAGATGGACACGAGGAACATCAAAGAGTGATCTGTGCTTTGTGTTATGGTCATGTGTTCTGTTGAGGTTGGCAAGGAGATGTTTGAGGGGAGGGTTAATATCAGAGTTAAGTGTTTGAGGGGAGGGTTAATATCAGAGTTAAGTGTTCTATGTATGTAATAGGTGCAGTAATAAGTATGGATGTTTTGTATGGTGAGTAGGTTTAGTGTATTGAATATTGGTGGAGTGTGCTGCCTGTAGTGAGAATTTGTTATCATTCTAACTGCGGGCCTTTGTTGGGTAATTAGTGGTCTGAGGTGGTTAATTGTTGTTGAGCCCCATGCACAAATTCCATAGGTGAGATAGGGGTAAAAGAGAGTGATATAGGGCCAAAGGGCTGACTGTGGAGCATAGTACCGTATCTTCGATAGTATGCCTACAGTCTTGGAAATTTTTTTGGGAAATTTGTTGTATATGTGTATGAAATTTGAGTTTATATCAAGGTGGTTCCTAAGAATTTTCCCTCTGTTACTTTGTGATAGGTGATCCGTTTATCATTATTTTTAAGAGGGACATCTGTAGCTCTGTTACCAAACTGAATGAAGTAGGTTTTGTCAATGTTTAGTGTAAGTTTGTTAGTCCTCATCCAGGTAGATATTTTCTGTAATTCGGTATTTACAGTATTGGCTAGCGTGACTGGGCTCGGGTGGGAGAAGACGTATGTAGTGTCATCTGCAAATAGTGTGGGTTTGAGAAAATTGCGAAGCTTTTTGGTAGGTCATTTATGTATGGGAGAAAGAGAAGAGGGCCAAGGACACTTCCCTGGGGGACACCAACTGTAATTGGTTGTGCAGAAGAGTTTGCCCCATTTGCGTACACATATTGGCTTCTGTTGTTGAGGTATGACTTGAGGTAGTTGAGGGAGTGCCCTCTTATACCATAGTGTGACAATTTTACATGGAGCAAGTCATGGTCAACTGTATCAAAAGCTTTATGTAAGTCAATGAAGATCCCCAGTGGGACTTCTTTTTTCTCTATTGCAGTGTATATATGTTCTAGCATGTGTATAATAGCATCATTAGTATTTTTATTAGGCCTGAATCCAAATTGGCAGGGGTTGATTATAGAGGTATTGGGTCTTTTTTAGAAAATTATTAATACATTCGTCAATATCTGTGTTGATTTCTAGCTCAGTGTGCCAGTCAATGTTTGCTACTGCTGTTGTGAAGTTATTAATGGCTGCCTCATTGTGAAGTCTGAAAGTGACTTTAGTAGTGTCTTGGGGTAGTTTACCAAGAGTTGTTATGAGGAAAGTAGGGTAGTGGTCTGTGGTATTATCTGTAATTATGCCTGATTTTAAAGGGGATATGGTGTTGGTCCAGATGTGGTCAAGTAGGGAAACACTAGTCTCTGTAACTCTTGTAGGTTTTGTTACTGTTGGTAGCAACATACAGTTACTCATTGGTTTGTGAATTCGTAACGGTGGGTCCTTGTTTTGGGCAGGAGATTTATATTAAAAGTAAACCTGAGAGTAGTAAGTGATCTTTGTTCATGCGTGCATCATTATCATACTTCCTAGGTTTTGACTAAATGGCTAATGCTTGACTGTGGAACTCTGTAGATGTTTATCAATGTGAGAGGTTTTGTAGGTATTTGGATTTGAATTTAGTATTATATATTCCCCATGTTCATTCCCTTGTGCAAGGTATTAGTGATACATTCTAGTTGGTCAGAGTAGTATATGGCTGTGCCACCCCCTTGTTGTCTGGCCTCCCAGTTGGGTATGGCTGTGTAACCGGGATGGCTAGACATCTGTACTATCAGGCTTTAAGCCAGGTTTCAGTTAGTGTAATGATGGACATATTGGCATGTAAGGGGAAATTTTAGTAATGCTATGAGGTCATCGTAATGCTTGCTTAAAGATCTGATATTGTAGTTAAAGATAGTTATTTTTGTTGTTGGCACTGAGAAGTGCCTTTGATTGTTCTTCAGTGTAGTAATTACAGTAACTGTTGATTCATTTAAGTCCATTAAAATAAGAGGTTGGTATCAGGATCAATGCTTGTAATCATAAGATTTGTAGTGAATCTATAGTTAGAATTAAGTATAAAACAAAGTAATAGTCTTAAGCTAAAAAATAGCACCTGAATTATTTAACAAATGTAAAAAAAGGGAGCTAAGGTAGTTTTTTTTTTTTTTTAAGCTAAAATAAGGGAGAACAATATAAAAGGGACTAATACAATAAAGTGATGAACAAATAATGGAGCTTGGGGAATATGATAGTAGGTAGTACTTATAAAGGTAATTTTTTTAAAGTTAGAATTATAGTATAAAATTATAATATTAAAGGGACTAATTTAAGTTGTGGTGGGAACAATTAAAGTGGTAATCAAATAAATGACTTTGGAATATAATGGAAAATTTGTGAACTTATTTTACTTTAGCACTAGAATAGCACCTTGATTTTTTTTAACAATTGTGAATATATAAACTAGGGTAGTTATATAAAGCTAAAATAAAGGGAAAAATATATAAGGGACTAAAATTAAGTAATGGTAAACAAAGTTAAATGGACAGATGGTCACTATGAAATAATATTGGTTTAGGAGTAAGATCTGATTTGTAATATTAAATAAATTGAGCAGTTTATTGCACAATAAAAAGTAAAAAAAAATGAGGTAGTTGGTACTAGCTAGCAAAAGATAGTTTTGGTACTTTCAAAAAAGTAATTGGAATATATACTAATTGCAAAACACAATGAAAAGTGACTAAAAAACAAGTAGTGATAACAAAATTAAATGGACAGGTAAGAATAATGAAAATTTATTAATTTGGAGTAAGATTTGACTTTTAATTTAAAAATTTTGAGCAATTAGTAGCAGTAAGAAAGAAGTATAGAGTATTGGAGGTAGTTGGGATTAGCTAGTGATGAAAAATAATAAAAATAATAATGCACAATTTTAATAGTAACGTACACTATATGCCCACACTATATATGTATTAAGGGCACTTATCTAATCTGTTACAGAAATGTCAGCTTTTCTAAGGAAAGGGAGAGAAATCATGTTCGTTTGAGATGGTATATTGTTGTCCTGGGTTTAAGTTTTCCTTACTAGTATTTTCCCATTCTCGGTGAAACACTGATGTATTTGTTTTCCTGTTTAAGTTTTCTCAGCCTGAACAGAAGGTTTTGACGTTTTTTTTGTTAGACACTCATTTATGTAAAACTCCATTTTTCATTGTAATTGCTGATTTAATTAGGTCCTTTCTTTTATCGTATGAATGAAGTCGGATCATTATACTGTGTTTATTTCCTGGTTTTCCTAGCAAACGTTTTCTTTGATTTCATTTTTTTTGCACGATGACTTGTACGTGGTCCCGTATTTTCCTGATAGCAGTTTCTTTGCACTGTGCTTGTGTTATGTCACTTGGAATGTGTGGACTGTTTATTATAACTGCATCAAACAACTTATCTTGTTCAGTTTTGTTGTCTTGGAAATCAAGGTATTCATTTAGTCGAGTGTGCATGTTCTGATTCCAGTCCTTGATTGCTTCTTCAACCTTCATATTTATTGTTGTTATTTGCTCAGTGTGACTGGCTATAGCTGCTTTTAGAGTATTTTCTGTGTCAACACTTCCCGATGTAATCTTCTCTTCAAGGTTTTGGATCTTGTTCTCGAGGTTGGTTATCTTGGATTCTCATCGCTCGAGTGTTGCTTTGATATCTTTGATCTCATTTTCTAGAGCAACGATGTAGTCCTTGATATTGTCAGGAATAATCATACCTGAGTTATCATGGGTGAATCCTTTGAAGGGAGTGGAGTTGGAGGGGGAGTCAGCCATGTTTGTTGTTGTTGTTGTTGT